TTTTATATGTCTGCAGTCCGAGGGCTTACAATCTGCATGCTCCTGCCATTAGGCGTAAGTTTTTGTTATTGTTGCTTGTGTCATAGGATTAATTAAACATGTCCCTCTCCATCACATTGCAGGGGAGGCAAAGTGGCCTTATTACATCGCAAGCCTTACGTATGAATCACATCAAGCATTTTTGTGTCCACATTACAAAGCAACCTGAATTTCATTTCAATCTTAATCTACTCTCTTTGGTAACATCAAATGAGTAACATCAAACCTAAGTGTGAAACACTGGTGAGAGAAGGCAAACAGGCCTATTTGCCCAGGATGGTTAAATCATGACCATTGCTCACCTATCACTTCTAAACAAGGGAGTTTTTAAAACTAACCATAAGTTTATTATTTAAAAAACCTGTTGCTGACACCATTGAACTGTGTTGTGGCCAAATCTTTTAAATAGGCAATAATAAATTCAGATTGCTGGGATAGAAATTAAGCCACAGTCATAGTAGTAACCTCCAGAAGTGGACAAAATGCTGTACATATGTTTTAAAATCATAACAGGTTCATCTGATGCATATCTAACTCAAAGACAGCAAAGGTCGACACACCTAGTTCCCAGGAAACAGCGCTTTCTCCAAGACAGGTTTGGGATGGAGCACATGTTCCAGCTGCTGATGAGGACTACCAGAAGATTCCCATCTATCTGAGTGCAAGCATGGATTTGATTTTTTTTTTTTTTTAATTTTTCTCCTCTCTGCAGCATTTATATTTATAAATATAAAAAGAAATCCAAATACAAATACTAACCCAAGCCCCTCCATGTTACACTCAGTTCTTCCCCTAGAGAGATCATGGAAAAGAAAATGATCCTTCCCATGGCAAAAGCAGTAACTTAGAACATTCCTGGGAGGTATCCAGATACTATACTGATCCTACAGTATGTAGAACAAAATAGCTTATCATTCAGATTATGCTCTTGGGCAAAGCTAGATAGCTTCAAGGACAAGGGGGTTACCCTAGATCAGCACCATAAATGTTTTTATATATGAAACAGCTGCAAGATAAATTATTTCATATTACACATAGGTACAGTTTTACTTTCAGCTGTCTCACTGTTGGAACACTATGTCTTACACAGATTTTTCTATTTGTAAAATACACTTAGAATTCTAAGTTGCATATGAATGAATGACTCCTTATGGCTGCTGTGTGTTGAAACCAAAAGGACTATCACAGATCTGTGGCAAGGACCAGGCCATTGAATTCCCAGAAATTCTTCATACGAAACCGTCTTTAAAAATGAACCAAGTAAATGGAAAAAATATTACTAAAGAAACTAACATAATGTCTGTGTTTAAATGAATGGTACTATTAAGAGAACAAAGCAGCTTCACCAATTCATAAGTAAGCTGCTTATAATCTTTTTTCTTTTTTTTTTTCACTCTTCCCCTCTCTCTTATTTTTCCTTTTCTTTTTTAAATCATCTGAGAGAAATCTTTCAAAACCTCTTAAAGGAAAAGGTCTACAGCCACAAGATTTTGTGCTAATGAAATTCCAGAATTATGAAGACAGAGATCAAGATCATGCCTTCGACAACATCTGGGCTGAATAAAATTAAAAGAAAGTGCTGCTTGACTTAGATGAGACAATGAGTAAGCAGGAGAAAGAAAAAACTCCAGTTGAAAAGTTTACTAGAAGCAGAAAACATTGACTATTGAGGAAATAGGTAAACTAATCTAGCTACTGCTGCCTCAACAGTCATATTAGTACTAACTGAAAAGCAGTTTATCATGTTATTTCCTTTTTTGATAACCTGCATCAATATGCACCTATCCAACATCAAACTAATCCAAATAAAGGAAAGTGGAGAACAACAGAGTGACATAGGCACCGTTTCTGTTCTAGTTGCTGACTGACAAAACTGCCATCCCTTAACATGGTTTTATTTAGTTATTACAACCATCTCTCTGTAAATGACACTTAGGATTATTTAAGATTATGTTGTAATCCTTTTAATCCTCAGTGCTTTAAATTTCAGGCTAAACACCAAAGAGCAAACTAGCACTTAGCAGAAATATTTAAAGCACGTGACTTGAACATAAATCTTCTTTTATTCACCACTCTTTTATTCAATGATGAAGACCTAGTGTATCGTGTCATTCAACCAACAAGAGCAAGCAGCACAGTATCTGACTTCAAACTGCTACGTTTCCTCACATCATGTGGAACTGGTTTTAACCATTTCTTTTCCTTGGTGTTAGCTATATCATCAATAAAATAAATGAAGGAAAACCAGAAGTTTATATTTTATAGGATGTGCATATTCTCAGTTACTATTGAGGAAAATTTGAAAAAAAACCAAAAACTCACATAATATGTTCAACAAGAACAGAAATAGATTGCATGCACAAATTAGGTACTGTGAGAGACAGATCAGACTTATCCTGTTAAATAAGGAGTAGCTCAATTAAAATGAGTAACACTGCTGAAAACCTCATGATCAACACCAGAAACCCAAATCTTCTTGCCTGAATATCATTTACTTGAAGTTACCTCTCTTCTTTTTCCTGCATCAATCATATTTCCAATTAGTTTTCTTTATGATACTCCTATACTCCATCTTGTTACCATCCATTAACTGTCATATGCTTAGACTTTAAAATCAAGGTTTCCTTCTTTTTCTTCAAACCAAAATCTCAAGTCATTTTCTATTTCTAATCTATAATTCATGAACTTAAATTGAGAGCCCAGCCTAAATCAAACATAGAATTCTGCATCTACTAGTACAACATGTTAACAGAAAACAACCATTACTCTATTTGAATCAGAAAATAATATTTTACTATTCAGAAAGTAATGAAACAAAACCCCACCAAACCATGTCCTGTTGCCATGCTTTAAGGATATAATCACACTTACTGCTGATAATTTCAAAGTTAGGCAGCTGATGTATTTAATCAAATAGCAGTGCAATGCATCTATATTTAGATCGGGGGAAAAAAAATCACCCATGTTCTTTTCATTTGAAGAAATCTATGAATAAGTAAACATATATTATCAATCTTATTCCCACCCACTAGGGATAAATAGATCATCAGAAGTGTTTCCTGAAATATTCAGTACCCAGGTACAAACTGACCTCTCCGCTTTCAAACTTGCCTTGGATTCCCTCCAGACTATCTCATAAATCTTCACTCTATCTCCAGTCCCCTTCCCACTCTATCTGCTCATGCAGCACTAGTCTCATTCAGTCCCTTCCTCTCCCAAAATGTCACCACTGCTGATGCCAAAGCCTTCTCCTCTTTCACTCTTACCATCTGGCAGAATCTTCTTGTAGCTCTCTGTCTAAACAATGCTCTATCCCTTTTCAAAATGTGTCTTAACATATGTCCTTCCTCCCATGCTTTTACTTCTTAATGTCTCTCCCACTCACTTAGTGGCTTGATGAAGACATGTTTTAATGGGTTCAAAGAGTAGTGCATGAGTTTCCTTTCTCACATTATTCTGATTCAGTGAAGTTAGACCTCACACTAACAGAAGTGAGAAGAAAATGCATTGCAAAGTCTTCATACAACCAGTTTGATAAATCAATAACAGAGCTTCATTTGTCTTTACACTGGAAATGTATTAGCTGCAATGAATCACCAATCCAATATGTATTTCCAAAAGAAATGTTTCTTACTTCAAATGAGAAATAAACCTTAGAAGCTCAGAAGACTTCTCAGTGTTCTCAGGGGGGTGAAATAGTGAAGGCTAAGGTTATACTTACTCACATTCCAAGTGAAAAAGCTGAAGATTGACAGGAAAACCAAAATATTTATTCTAAAAATACCTAGGAAATCACAAAGCTCCAAGTGTTGTCTCAAGACAACCTGAAGGATGTGGGGGGTACAGAAGCATAAGTTATACAGTCTTGAAGAAGCGGAATATTTCTAAATATTTCATGTGCTTTAGAAAGGTGTCTAGAAAAATTAACCTTAAAAAAAGGTCTCTGTAACACCCAGTCTCAACCCAAAGTGGTTTCTTTTCAAGAAGACATGTACAGCTCCTGAGGGCAGTTTTTTTGTGTGTTGAGTTGGGTTTTTCAAAAACCCAGACCCAGGCACAGTTGATTCCTCCAGCATGTTTCATTGGTGGTGATGCCAAAGTACGATCTGGTAACTAACAGTATCTTGACCCTGACATGTTCCCTTCTACATCTCTCCTCCCTTGATTGTTTGTATTGTTAAAAATTCTTAATGTTAGAACTCTGGGAAACAACAATAATATTTTGATGTGACGATGCAGCTTCTAACAAAAAAAGCCCAACTTTCTACTAATAATCATGGGAGATGGAGTATGTCCAAAACCTGAAGATGTTGCAATAAAGTATTTTAGCCTGGAATGTTAACCTTGCAGTAATGCTTTTCTTGTCCTTTTATCTTCTTGGGCCTTGATCCTCACTTTCAATTCAATGGAATTTAGATGAAATAATTAAATAATACTATTTTCCAACAATAAGGAATAGTCTTATGAGAAATACATGTCCTTCTATGCTGGCCCTGAGAGAGTCAAGTTTTAAAATCCTCCCCTTCCAGAAATGAACCAGGGTCATCACCGTCTAAGGACCCTGAACAGCAATAAAAATAAACAGAGTAACCACACTGTGCTGGAGCAAAGCTTGTATAAGCAGTTTGAAGAAGTTGTGTTTATGGAAGTTCTTTAGGTCAAGATTCTAGGCCTGAACCCAAAGCAATTATCTACTAAGTTTTAAAAACAAATTGAATATAGAGCATTAATCAATAAATCAACAGGTTCTCAAGTGTTTAGAAGACTCAGCTGTCAGAAATCCTTCTCTTAGAAAAATAGTAAACTGATGCTTGCTAAAATGCTATTCTCCTGTACCGATAAGAAAAGAGCTGTATTAAATCAGTCTCTAGTTATTAAAACCAAGAAAAAGGAAATAAAACCTCTTAATTTAACAGAATTTGTACTTAAATGAGCAATGAAAGTCAAACATGGACTCTTACCTGAAAGACATTCTTTCTGCTGGATTTCTCTGAGGTCCACTCAATGCAAGCACCACACAAATCCACGCACTCAGGTTTATATCCTGGTTTCTGGAAAGAAAAGGAGTTAAAAAACCCAAACCAAAAATCAAAACCCACAGCCATAAATATGGCCTGTCTTTTCAGAAATTGGAGCAGTTATCGAATAAAATAGGAATAGATCAACTTCAGATGACATAGTATTGTAGCATAGCTGCTGAATTTACTAAAAAGAGTTTATTATTCCTTGATATTATTAAATAGCTACTCCTGAGGTGTTGTAACTCAGAAATAAGACTTTTACACTAGATAAGTAATTTTTAAAATAATTAAATGATTTAAAAAACAGGCTAATGTAACACGCAATTGATCAAAACAAAATGCACACACATTGACCAGGTATGCTGGTCAAATGGTTTCTTTGCAAAACCTCTTGAAAAGGTTTTGAGTTTAAAGGTAAAATCTTGTCACTTTCCAAATTCAAATTTAAATTGATGCAGCTGGAAAAGACAAAAACTAAGCAAGACACAAGACATACATCGTATATGTAAGACAAGCTACCTTAACAAAAATAAAAATTATCATTTCTAGCTCCTAAAAAGAAAAAAAAAATAAAGAAAGGCTTTAAGGGCATGTGTGACACCCAAAAAGAAGCTTAACACTAGGGTAGCTCCACACAGTTTGCTACTTCACAATGTCAGTCTGTGCATCCCAGAGTGACACAGCTCTGCCTCCCCAGCTTCTCCGGATGGATGCAAATAATTCAAAGAGCAGATTTGTTTGCCTGTATCATTTACGTTGCTGGGAGTTGGTGTAAAGCACAATAATCCTCATTTGCCATCTAAGCTTCTTCTCCAGGGACTCTGTCTGTGCAGCAGTTCTGGCAAAGCCCACGTAGTTTAGAGTGGTCTTTGCAGATTTTGTTACTGTGCATCCCAGACAACAATACTACTGTTAAGAAGATACACCACTAAGAAGTCTCTTTTGGGTAAGATACAGAGTAATATCCACATAATGTAATTAACCAGCTTGATGCATCTTTTTTGCTCTGTTGCTCTTAAGCCATTTTACCTTTAAAAATGGTATTGCTAATAAAGAAAACAGACTTAATAGAAGTTAACAGTGGCCAGTCCAGCATCAACCACATAATCATCTTTCCAAAGGTTGCTCACTGAATTACTCTGATGCTGTAATTAAAGGCTAAAAAATGTGTGTTCTACAGAATGTTTTTGAGATGGGTACAAAAGGACCTATTTAGGTTAAAAGCAACAGAGTAAGATACCCTGGTCAAGCAATTTGCAGCCAGAATTTCTGGCGTATTTCAGTATTGGGGTTGTAATTATGTTCTCCTTTTGCCAAACCATAAAACCACTATGGTTCAGTCCTGTGTGTCTTTGTTTCTTTTTAATTTATTTTTTTTTAACAGAAGAAATATGCTGTTCAAAACAGAAGGATGTTCTTGTGCTTAAACGACTGGAAGAGCAGGGGTTGCATTTCTTTCCCCCAGCTGTGCCTCAGACTTCCTGCCTGACCTCCAACAGGAACTTAATCTTTCTGAATTCTTAATAGCATACATATTTGACTTTAAAAAGGTGTTGTGAAATTTCATCAGTTAATATTTGCCTGGCAAAAGAGACAAAGTTGAAAAAAAAGTCTCAGACAAACACCAACCTATTAGCACAAACAAATATTCAACGAGCAGAGGCAGGGAACACAGGGATTTTTAGTATTCCAGTACTATACTTTTATATAAGGGGCTATGGTGTCTCCTTTGACTAGATCACTCTCCTTGGGCAGGGGTCACCCCAAGGAAGTTTCATCCCCAGGTCTCCACACAGCGGTCAGGGCTGCACTGCACAGAGCAGGCAGCAGTGTAACTCATCCTGAACACACAACACAGCCTCGTCAGAGGGGGCTGCCTTGCTTCATTTGAAAAAAAAAAATTGCTCAAAAGGACAGTGTGAGTCTGAAAATACTTTGACGAAGAAGGACAGCTTTGTTCCACCAGCAGAAAGAGTTGAGAAATTTTGGAAACACTTAATTAGATGAAGACATTCAAATGTACACAAAAAAAGACTCCAGGAAATAGTTTCTTGATAGTGAAGGATACTGGGCTACATATTTTCCTTGGGAAAGCTGCCATGACATTTCATTGGAGTGAGAAAAAAAAACAGTGGAAAGCCCAGGGAAATTCTGCAGAAAGATGGAATAGTAAACTCTACAGTACTCTGCTATCTGTAGTTTCTATGACTGTACAAAAACTTACGCAGCAGCAGAATTTGGGCTTCTTCATGCACTCAGTGCACACAGTTTAATTTTGTTGTTATAATATGCAGTTTGTTTACAGCTTTGATTTTGCAATAAGCAGAAGAAAAGTATGAGTACGTGCATCTCCCTTTCCAGAAATTGTGGGATGCAAGCTTAATCTTAGGAAGGTGGACATGTTTTTGCTATGTACAATAATCAACAGGAAAACTTCTTTTTTAGAGAACTTAGCAATTCTGCCCACAGCAGAATATGAGGTGTCTATGGACACCATATGAGACTCATGAGTATGACACAGTATGTGAAGCTTCTGATGAAAACTACATGCAAAACCACTCAGATCCATCAAGCCTGAACCTGTCCAGGGTGCACATCAGCCTTTCCTGCTGCACCTAGGTAGGTCCATACAATGGAAGACCTGCTTAAATCTGTACGGATCACTGGAAAGCTGCCTAGAAATTAATTCTGGCCTAAACATAGTCCTGTTAGCATGTTTTCCAGTTTATGCATTACCCAAAGACACTGCAAGAAAGTTAAGGCTCCTGGGAAAGCCTGAGCACTCTGTATCCTTGCTTTGGATTTTGTAGTCAGAGCAACTATATCAACATTGCTGGAGAGGGGTTATGCTCTAAATTGTTACAAGTGTCTGCTACAATGAAATCTTCCTAAACATGTATGTGGATTTCAGCAGCATTTTCACTCACTAAATTACTTGGGTTAATAACCGAAGGTTAAAATAACCTCTCTTGAGTAAACTATCTCAGGGATTAAACAGACTACTTTTACTTGGTCACAAAGACCAACTGGTAACAGAATTTAACATTGGTAAGAAAGACTGCTGCTGTGATCTGGTTAGATCACAATGTCCTTAATTTAAAATAAAAAGTTATATTCATATGAATGCTAAAAATGTATATAAAAAGCATGACCACAAGTGAACAGGCAGCAGCAAAAGATAATCATTAGCTTCATGGAAAGCAAACTTGCCTTTTCAGTAATATTTGTAAACAATCATTTTCTGAATCTCTCCTCTGTGTGCTTTAATTGCTGTGCTCTCCTATTACTAATATTAATACCAGATATTGTCACTAGCTTCACCAGAAAGCTATGGATCCCAGTCTTCTCCGTGCAAATCAATAGGAAACTTGTTATAGTGATTCTTACCTCTACAGTTGTACAAGGAAAAACAGAAACTCCTTTTAGCTATTACTAGGCCTTTACATTAGAATGTTATTTAATATTTTGGTAAATATAATTTTAAATCACTTCTAAATGTTATCCTATCATCAGAAAAATAGGTATATTAGAATGTGCTTTCACTTCCTGCTCTCCTTTTGCCTCTATTGTGAAATATCATTCTTCTTATAATGATGATGCCTTATTCTAAATTTTCACTTCATGTACAGTATTTAATATTTAATAATTAATGAATTAGTATCTTTATAATACAAAGGAACATTAATCTTTTTGTTAAGCCACATCATTTTCCTGCTTACAATGAAAATGCTTTGTTGTAATTCACTATCGCGAATGAGCATTGCCTGTATTACATGATTTAATTAATGGTTGAGCTCCCCTTTAGCCTAAGTAAACTACAGTTTAAAAAAAAAAATAATCCGTAAGCAAATGATTTCTAATGAATCATTTTTGTATTATTTTCTTTCCACTATCAAAATTATATCTGGTTAAATGGTTTACAAAGGACATAAGATTTATATTTACTTCTTCAGATGACCAACATGCTTGTTTAGCTTTTTTTTGCTGTGTGAAATTTGGGGGTTAAGAAATTAGGTTATAAGATTCTGAATACTGACAGCTCTTGTTGTTTTCAAGCTTTACTTAATTTGTTTATTTACTATTGCATATAAGTTATATGCAACAGACAGAAAATGTATTTTAACGGATTTTTTCGCCCAGTGAACATTCAGTTCACAACCCCAGTGTTCAGATTTAGCACGGAATTAAATAAAAGTGACCCACTTCCATATTTTTTCCCATAAAGAGCAAAATATGGGATCAATACGTCTGTGTTCTTCCCAACATAGGAGGCAGTAGATATTATCTTACCAACTGTGAGCATTGGTGATGACTGGGACATCAGGGAAAGGGATTGACTTATCATAATTTTTTGAGTTAAACAGATAGTGAACCGGGCCAGAGTCCCATCCTCCAGGCAGGTCTACTTTAGTATCTAAAACCTTAAAGACCTAACGGGGATTTTAATCATATGTAGAAGTCTCGGAGCAAAATCATGTCTTCTGTGTGCTGAATTTTACTGGTCCATTTATCTCCTGGGATTTGGGTGAGGGCTTATAAAGAGAGAGGAGAAGAGGTAGCACATAGAAGGGTAAGACACCTGGTAAATTGTAAGACTAGTTCTAGTAAGTCCATTTGTGATTTTTTTCAAGTAACATATAATTAAATATTAAGGAAAATAAATTATTCTGAAAAAACATTAATTCAATATAACATTTTAAATGCTGCAGAAAATTTGTATTTTCTAACTGTACTAGCACAAAGACAATCAGAATGTGCCAGATTTCACCCTTTCTATTGTTTCAATTATTATTTTTATATTTCCTACAACCCTCACCTTCTTTCAAAATACATTAAAAGATGTTCTTTAAAGCTGATTTTATAGCAGGTGGAAATGGTAGATCAAGAACATATAGAAGAAAAGATTTATATCACCTGCCATGGAAAAAATAACTTATTGTTTGTGACTCCTGCCAAAGAGAGCACCTTTGTGACCACCCATCATGCTAATGAGATTTGGCAGGTTTGATCAGTCCTTGAGAGCCTTTCACAACAGGGCTTTGTCAAACCTGTCCCTTTGCTGCCCACAGTGTCACATATTTGCCGAATTCCCCTTTTGTTGCCCACATTCAGGTTCATAGGCTCAAACTCAGCAGTAACTAGCACTGAAGGGATACATGCCATTATTGCTTGCACAATGTAGCTGTCACTTCTCTGAAGACTAAGATCAGTGTTCTTTCCTTGGGGCACAATAAAAAGGTACTGCAAATTTCACTTTGTAGTAACTACAGGCTATAGAAATTGCATTAGCTGTGTTAGATGGAGTCACAGAAATATTCAGAAAGGTTAGCAGGATATGGTAGATGTCACATTTATACTACTATAAAAAATCACTTTGCTAACTTATAATGTTTCTGCTTTGGTAGTACCCTATATTAAGGTGCCATTTATAAATAATTTATTATTATTTATTAATGTATAAGCCACTTTATGAGATGGTAGATAACAACTTAAATTCATGTATTAAAGATGCAGATACATGGTTTAATACAATTTACGTCTCACAATATCCTCTGCAACAGATTCTCATCGCATCATCTGTTAAGCATTTATTACTAATGCATTTTATAACATACTTTATAATACATTATTTGAGGAAGTAGCTGCATTTAGTGATCATTTTCATAAATAAGAATAAAGCATTTATAAATGGCACCTTAATTTAAAGTGTTACCTTCACATTACTGAATAGTCACTCACCATTTGTCTCACTTTGCAACTATTCTCAAAAGGTACCTCTTAATAAAGGACATGCTAAGTCCTATTTCTTACCATATACTACATCTGATTAAGTGTTTATCAAGGAATTTTCCTTCAGCTGCTCTCAAAACTTTGAAGGTTGCCAGCTCAGTCTGAATTTGTCTTACATATATACCAAACTATTTATACTGAAATAATACTTGCAAGGAAGCTGAGTGTACCAGATGGTTGATTGCTTACCAGGTTGGCCAGTGCTGGCTGCTTGGATTCTTTATAGAATTCCATTTTCTGAGCAGTGAGAACAACCCAGGATGTGGACCAGTTTTTCCTTAAAAATAAAATTAAATTGAAAAAAGTAAAAAATCAGTCAGACATGCAAGCAGGAGGTAGACACTCCATTTGTAGACTTAGTTTTTAATTATTTCATGTCAGAGACAAAAATGGTCTGAAGTCAATATCAACAATGCACTTCAACCAATATTGATGGAGTTGCATCATCTTAGGTATATTTGAATGTTGCCTAGCAAAGCTTGAAAACGTTTCTGTTCATTCATGTTTTGAAGCCTATGTTCCTTTTTCAAGATGGTGCCTTAACTACAGGAAAACAGAGAGATTATTCACACATGCTTAAATTTCACATATACTTGGAGGACTCCAAAATAGCTGGCACTCTTCTGGTAGCTAATACTTAAAATAGAGCCAGGAAGGAAAAATGTAATTTTGATCTGACTATACAGAGCCATCCTGTGATCAGCTGTAACAGTTATTTTTTCTCCTTCCTAGTAGCTGGTGCAGTGCTGTTTTCAACTTTAGTCTGAGAACAATGCTGATACACCGACGCTTTTTAGTTGTTGTTAAGTATTGCTTACCCCGACATTTTAGTCTCATGCTATGCCAGTGAGAAGGGGCACGGGAAGCCAGGAGGAAACAGGGACAGGACACCTGACCCAACCTAGCCAAAGGGGTAGCTTTCTTACCACAGCACATCATGGCCAGTAAATAAACTGGGGGGAGTTAGCTGGAAGGCCCACGACAAGAGCTTAGCGAAGGGTTTATTTTGAGAGGTCCCAAATACTTTCCACTTCCCATAAATAAATAAAAAATTGTAGGAAAGCAAGGAGAATAAAAATGCTATCTGAGAGAGGTTTAAGCAACCAGTAAACAACAGGACCTCACAGTAAGGCCCTAAGAGCTGTCAAACTGCTGGGGCCAGGAAAAAGTAAAAATGCACATAGAAATGTGATACACTGTACCTGATGCAGAAGAACATAATAATCTACTCAGAAGAAAATGCTATTATATATATGACATATAAAGTGATGTTTCAAGCCACCACCTAATCATAAACAAATGGATCTGATAGAAAACAATTTTTTGATCATTATCTCAAGTTTGACTTTCCTCTTTGGGGTTCATAACATCCAATGCTTGCAAAAATACTTACAAACCCACTATTTGTTTGTTTTACATAAATGCAAATCACAAATCTGTACATTTTAGAACAAACCTGAAAAAAAACATGTGACAAGCAGGCTGTTTCACGTGTATGTTGTGGTGCGTTAAAAGTAGGAAGCTGCCTGTAAGGACACAGGGAGCCCAGGGAGCTGCTTTTAGTAGTCCTTTTTCTCTCTCCCCCTCACCTGTCTCTCCTAGTCACTTTGAGTTTTCTCTATTTAGGTATTCCTAAGTAACACAAACACAGCCATTTTTTATTCTAACAAAATTTGTCTTTATTGAGTTTAAAAGCCTGATGGCCACCTTTGTGATGTTCACTTCCAGATCCATCTCACAGCTTTGCTGCACTCAGTATTCCATCAAACGTCACAGCAGGTAGATAGATAGTTTTTTTCTATTAATGATTTTCCTGTTCCATGTTTCATTCATCAGCATAAGTAGCATAACCAATATTACATATGAGGTCGTAACACCACTGGCATTACCAGATGAGCTTGCACTTGCTGCAGTGTTGAGAGAATTTCAGCCAGCATGATACCACAATCACACTAAGCTATGTCCAACAAGAGGCAACAGTGAAAGAAGCTCTCCACAAAGGAGGTTACTACATCTGAAGAAAATAAGACTGTATTTTTATGCCATGTTAATGTGGAATAAAGAGAGAAACATTAAGAAAAAGAAAGAAACAGAAGGGTTATAGAAAAGTACCTGGCCATCACCAACAAATATTTCCCCACAAAAGGGCAGTGTCTGTAAGTCACTTTGAAATTTTCTAAATTCATTACCACTATAAAGCTATATACTTTGCTAAATGTGAACCATGTTCATAGCTGTGGGTTGTGTATATTGGGAATTCAGAAAAGCTCAACCTCAGTTATTTAGCTAAAGTATCCTTAGGAAACTATTATTCCTGTAGCTAAGAATCACCATTAAGGTAGCGAATACATGTTGCCTATTGGTAAACACATCTTCAGTTATTTTTCTTTTTTTTTTTTTTTTTTTGACTCAAAAAATGGTCATTTAATTTCCCAGGGGATTAAGTGGCCAAACATGCAATATACAGGTTCAATTCAATTTTACTGTGAGTTGGATAACCTGAATAAATATGGATTACCAAAGGATTAAAACCCTTGGGACACAACCTATATTCAGTACCCAACTTACACCAAATGCTTGACCTTAGCTATAGAGAAGAACATTTCTGTGTCATGGACACTTCCACTAGGCAGAGTACTCCTTGCTCCAGCTACGTGGTTTGGTAGGTTTATCTAGCTGAGAAATTCAAATCAGTAAATCTATTTCGAGCTCCCAGATTCACATGCAATTTTCTTAAAAGTTTCAAATTCTTCATCAACTAACTGGGAAGTTTGCCAAGATTTGAAAGTGTTTCATTTCAACCTGGACCTCGTGTTAAAAAAAAAAAAAAAAAAAAAAAAAAAACCACAATAAAATGTATTTCTATTTCTTGTTTTAAAATAAGAAGCCAAGAATAAAAAATAAAAGCTTAATAAGCATTTTTAAAAATAGTCTCAGGTGAGATGTTTCGCCTAAGTTTCACGCTGAGTTTTAAGGTGAAAATGTTTTAATTGAATCAGGAATAAGAATATTTGGTGGGTTTGCAAGATACTATAGGAATTATAAAATCTATGAGAATGCAACTGAATTTCACTATAGTATCTGCGAGAAGACTTTTTTTCCCCTACACATTACTCTCACAGTTATTTTATTCTATAGTTTTTCATATTAAAATTGATATCTTAAAATCAAAACCTCATTACTTTTATCACCTAAAGATATATAGTATATAAACCAGACTTTTTATCAGATTGTCCATAAAGACATCCTCAGATTAAAGAAAAAGGAAAAAAAAAAAAGCACAAGGGGAAGACAAAAAAAAAGGGAGGGGGTATAAGGTACTTAAAACTGTATTAGTCTCTATACAGATCTCAGAATAGCTTGTCAAGATCATCTAGTTCCAATGTTCCTGCCACCAGCAGGGACAACTTCTATTAGACCAGGATGCTCAAAGCCCCGTCCAACACTGCCAGGGATGGAGCAGCCACACCTGAGAAACCTGGGCAGCCTCTGCCAGGGCCTCATCACCTTCACTGGAGAAAACTTCCATATACCTAATCCAAATCTACCCTTTTTCATCATATAACCATTCCCCCTTGTCCTATCTGTACATGCACTTGTAAAATACCCCCTCTTGCTTTCCTGTTGGCCCCTTTATGTCCTGGGAAGCTGCTCTAAGGTCTCCCTGGAGCCTTCTCTTCTCCAGGCTGAGCAACCCCAGCTCTCTCTGCCTGTCTCCATAGGAGAGGTGGTCCAGCCTTCTGACCATCTGCATCTCATAAGATATATGCAGTGACCTAAGGTTTTCAAGCTCTTTAGAAAAGCCAGTTCACAATATTCTAAGTTTTGCCCTGTGGCATCAAGATTTTCAGGATGTGACTTCCAGATGCTAAAGAGCGAGTTTAAGTAAGTGAAAGGAGTCAAAATGCATGCAGAGTAGATGAACCCCCACTACCCATCCTCTCTCTGTATAAAGAGCCATAAATATTGGTATACCAAAATGATCCAGGTAAAGTTAACAAGCAGATTGTGTGAATTCACTTATAGCTACACCGTTAAGTTTGTTATGGAAAAATCACTGCTGTAGAGTCCCGGCGAGGTGAACCCGAGTCTTGGGGGTTGCATAAGGAGCCCCGAGAGCTGAGGCTGTATTTGCATTCTGTCAAACGAACACCTGATGGCAGCACGTTATAGCTTCAGTGGTGCCCACGATCTCTGAGGCTGTTTTAAATATGTGAGACTGTTCAGGAGTATTTAAAAGTACGAGATTCCTCAGGGCTATTTAAAAATACAAGTGTCAAACGCTGCTTGCTTCCTGTGCCCAGCACAAGCCAGTGAGCAACACCGAGCCATCAAGATGCTTTGTGCCAGGGGCAGTGATGCACTGGAAAAGTAAGACTCCCTCATCATCTGGGCACAGGTGATGCCCTGCTTACATACTCTGTAGAAGCTTCTGCCGGTGTCCAGAGTTGGGAAAACAGTATTACTCTCTTCAGTGCCTTTTCCAAAAATGCAGGCTACACAACTTTCTGATAGCACCTAGCTGAAGCTGGCTTGGCCAAGTGTTTGTAATGTTCTTGCTTGAAGTGAGAGATTGGACTAAGGGATGCCCAGGCTCCCTTTTCAATGGATATTCTTAGGATCCTTATGGTTTAGAACTGTATAGGTAAGATAAATTATTACTTGGCTCATTTCTACATGCAAAAATACAGTATTTCACATTAGTTTTTCATTGATAACACACAGTGCTGGTCACATCAGTACTAATCACTTACTCCTTTAAATACAGTAAACCATAGCAAATCCTTCCACAAAGACAGCATTAATACATTACTTTCAACACAGTGTTAGTAAGTGCTGACCACTTTTATAACCTTTTCTTGGCATCACGACAAGGTGGGTTCCTACACCTCATCCTTGACCTCTCTAGCACACACCTTGCACTTAAAATTTGCCCACTGGAAAATATATTGTTGGTTTATTTGGTGCCTTAAGGCTGTCCTTAATATGCATAATGTATAGAATATAGAGGTTAACACACACATGATCATTGCATCCGGTGAGCCAATTAGCTGCTGTCACGTGGTTTCTGGACTGTTATCAAACATTGGATTAATACTGAAACAGTGGCAATTTGTGTGTTAACAGCAATAGTAGCTATATATACTTAAACATGAATCACCTCTGAATTTTGCAAATGATAAATTCTGTAACATTCATATACAATACCTTAATTTCTTCCCACCATCTGCTATTTTAGCTTTTAGAAGATATCCTTCTTTTTCCACTACCTGCAAGAAAGAAAAAAATGATATAACCATATAATTTGTTCAAATTAATGAATTCATTTAGTACACACAAAAGACTCTACATCTAGCTAATTTAGTGTTGTAGGTATTTTGCTGCTAATTCAGTTTAGTTGCCTTTTTTTTCCAGTACAGTCAGTTCTTGTGAAAATTTTCAAAAAAATCAAAGTCAATAAGAACAATAAACAGCAAAAAAAACCAAACACAAAAATATTCTATTAATTGGTTTAGAAGAAATTTATTGTAATGCAAGAAAAGTTTCTAGCTATAAGTAATAATTAGTTGAAATGATATTTTAATTATGGCAGTGTATAATTCCATTTATTGAGTTTCATTAATAGCTATGAGGAACAAGTTATACTTTTGTAGAAGCCTCTTGCTTATATTCTAAAGATACTAATGTTTAGGGGTGTTTAAGGGTGACCAGTGTCAGAGAAACATCAAATATTTGTACAACAGGAAAAGTTACACTGCCTTCACAGGTGCTACATTTTGCTTTGAGTCAGGACTAAATTAGGGCTCATTAAATTAAAAGCATCATGCTTTTAATTCATGCTGTCTTTCAGATGCAGTCTGGTATTGAGATGCTCACCCCTCAACCCTTAAAAGGTTATACTTCATTGGAGTGTGTGCGTCCATGAGCAAGGAGAACTTGTCTTCAAATTTCCAGCTGAACTAAATGGTCTCATAGTGTGGTGCAGAAAATCAAACTAAGCAGCTCTGTTAATCTTGATATACAAGCTGAAAGGGGAATTGTTACAAAGGAAAACACAGCTGTGTTGCACATTTTCCAAAATACACCCAAAAAAGGAAGAGACCTTAGCTATTACCTATACAAAGCAGGATGTGGTATTAGCAACCTGATATCACCTTTGAAGATCCCATATGCTGCAACTGATATTACTGAAACCTGGTCCCTGTTCTATGGTGTCAGAACTGGCTAAGGACTTTGCCAGTATGCACAAGGCTGCGATGCTTGATTGTAGCATACCAATTTTATGCCTGAGTTTTGGTATATTAGAAGCAAGTCCTAGGCTTGTTTACATTTCCTCCACAGTTCTAATCATTATCCTTGCAGACCAGACGTGAGTGACATTTCTCGGGGTTGTTATTGGGATCAGTGCTGTTTAACATCTTTGTCAGCAACACAGACAGTGGCATTGAATGTAACCTAGCAAGTTTGCTGATGACGCCAAGCTGTATGGTGCAGTTGTCAAATTGGAAGGCCGGGATGCCATCCAGAAGTACTTTGACATAGTTGAGAAGTGGGCCCATGCAAAGCTTCAAGGAGTTCAAGAAGGCCAAGTACAAGGCCCTGCACCTGGGCTGGGGCAATCCCAAACCCAAATACAGGCTGGATGGAGAACAGATTGAAAGCAGGCCTGAAGAGAATGACTAGATGTTTCTTGGTGGATGAGAAACTCAATATAACCCAGCAGGGTACACTGGGTGTGCAGAAAGCCCACTGTTTGCTGGGACACATCAAAAGAACCATGGCCAGCAGGTCGAGGAAGTGATTTTGCCCCTGTACTCTACTCTCACAAGGCCCCTAACTGGTGTACTGTATTCAGCTGTAGGGCCACCAACATAAGGATGTGGACATCTTGGAGCCAGTCCAGTGGAGGGCTATAAATATGGTGAAAGGGCTGGAGCACCCCTCGTATGGAGACAGACTGAGAGATGAGGTTGCTCAGCCTGGAGAAGAGAAAGCTAGAGGGAGACCTTAGAGCAGCCTCCCAGTGCATAAAAGGGGTAAGAAGTAAGCAGGAGAGGAATGTTTTACAAGTGCATGTACTGATAAGACAAGGGGGAATGGCTTTATACTGAAAAAGGGTAGATTTGGATTAGGTATAAGGAAGAATTTCTTTCCTGTGAGGGTGGTGAGGCTCTGGCAGAGGCTGCCCAGAGAAGCTGTGGCTGCCCTATCCCTGGCAGTGTTCAAGGGCAAGTTGGACGGGACTTTGAGCAACTTGGTCTAGCGGAACATGACATAATTTAACATGCCTTAAGAGGTAGCATAAGGATTTTAAAATGAAAAATGTGTTATTTTTACTATTAAAATATCATATTAACAATATATATGTTTAATTATTTTTTAGATTTTTTTTCTGGTATACAGCATATAATGAAATATATACAGCATAATTATCTGTTTCTACCTGTGAATAGATCTGTAGTTCTTTGGACAATGATTTAGGCAATGTTCTCGAATGGCTGCAAAGGAATTAATGTATGCATTTTCTATAATTTGCATTTATCTCATGCAAATTCCTGCCATGGAGATGATTGGCATAGAAAATACAGAGAGAAAGTGTGTAGGGATTATTGTGCAGAGTCATGTCACTATTTATCTAGTAATGGATGAATGAATTATCAGAGCTAAAGTAAGACTTAATTCCCACTTCCACCTACTTTTTTGTTTCTTTTTTTTTTTTTTCAAATTTACTTTACAACTTTCAATATTTTCCTTCCCCTTCTAAACCTTCATTTCTGTAGCATAAAACCTGGGGCATGGCCAGCACCAGAGAAGTTAAATAACATAAGAAAGGTTGTTTTTCTTAATATTTCCTTTCATCTGGAAACAACAATTGGGAGGAACATTGACTAACCATTCAGAGAAGCTGTTGATTGATTCTCTGAATCAGACCCAAAATCTCATGCTTTCAATGTTTACGAACCATCCTTCCCAAACTGTTATTTTAACCAATCCAAAAATAAAGGCAAATATGATTTTCAACATCCAATCTGAATCACCTCTGTTCTCACCTTTTGGGAAGTTTAAATTTAGATGTGATTGCAGATGAAAAGGTTGCAGCTCAGTCATATTCTCCCAATAATTGAATTGAGATAGGTTATTTAATTCACTATCAAAAGCTGGACATATAAAATACCCTGGTTTAAATTGCATAGCTCAAATTCACCATTTGTTACAAATTAAATGGTTCAAAATTGAACAGCAAAAATTACAAGGTCTTCAGTTAATAAGACCTTTCAGTGCTATGTAATTTAACTCTCATATATATATTGCTTTAACTGAATAACTGCAGGTGCTGTCTTTAAAAAAAAATAGCATGGTCTTCATTAATTGATTATGCACATAGTTTTTTCTGTAATTAGTATAAAAAACATTTATGGAATTACAAAACAACTTTACCATAAAGACCAAAAGATTTCTAGTATGATCCCAATATTTGTGTAAACTCTGGGGTGTTATATTCTCATTGCTTAACATCTGCTAATATCCCCTTTTCTGTTCTACTTGCTTTCAAGAAGATAATTCCAAGACAACTAAAATCAGTTTACAATACTCATGCAAATGGCTGATATTAAATTTAAAAGAATTCCAGATATATCTTAATGCTTTGTTGTTTCTGTCTCCATAAATATCATCATTTCTTGTTAAGCTGCTGCCCTTCCTGCACCTTTTCAGCATTTGAAAGATTGAAAAAATGACCCAAAATGCCCTTAAGAGTGAAGAGTTAGCATAGAAATAAGAAAATCAAATTATTGTGGGGGGTTTTGCGGTGGTGGGGTTTTTGAGGGTTCCTTTTTTTTTATTATTTTTTCTATTTTGGTTTTGTTTGCTTTTTAGAAAAATATTAAAAATGAGAGTATGCATATGTAAATATTCAGTACCTAAATAATATTTTTTAAAAAAGATTCTCGCAGGTTGACGGTATTAAAAATTATAAGGAAAAGTAATTATTACTATATTGCATATAGGTTCTATAATTTCCCTAGTTACAAGAATTCAAAGCTTCTGAACCTACCTAACCCTGAAAAGTTTGTGTAGGACAAAGTACCACTAATACCAACATTTCTTTGATGAATCTGTATTTGCATATTCATTCTCTTTTAACAGAAAAACCTCCATGCTTCTCATTCCCTCTAGATTTTTAAAATGTCAAGGAAAATTTTGTTATATTTTTTGATGACTTTTAATTATAAAAACTGATACTCATATTAAAAATACCTTAATATGAGCAAAGATGGGACAAGTACATGGTTGTATTCCTTTATACCAGGTATTAATACTGATGAAATATCAGTCTGGTACAAGTGACTTAACAGCAAAGTCAAGCTATACGAATTGCCTTGTACCTTCTGAAATTATTCTTTTTATTGATTAATCATGTCCCTCAAACTCCTTAACATCTTGAGGCATCCAAAGCCTCATGTATTTATTCTTTAATAAAGCATGTGTAACATTTACATTATAAACATTTAAAATAACAAGAGTGATTTATGAGTTCTATAAAGCAATTGCTTACTGTGTGGTCCTGTGTGCTAATGATATTTGCAAGTGTTAAGTTATGCTGGGAATGATTTCTTCTGTGACGGCTTACCTAAAAAAAAAAAAAAAAAAAAAAAATTAAGAAAAGAAAAAGGATGCAAATTCAAAGAGATTCAAACACATACAGGTAAAGATGGAACAACAAATCTAATTACTGGGCATGCACAACATTTATTGGATGGAGTTTTGGAAACCTGGTTGCTTTCAGTACTATATTTCTGTGAAAACTGGCGTTCCCTGAGCCCCGTGTATTTGAAAAGTACAGATACTAATCTCTAAACATCTTTGGTATAAATGTGTTTCATTGTGATGTCACATTGGCAACTTTACCTAAAAGTTAAACAACTGATAACAGTAGTCTTTGAAATTATGATTTTTCCATGGGGATTCTCAAAAATTTTTTAGTTAGTTAAGTTCCATTTTACAGAAATGGAAAAAATGCTAATTATAACCTCAAGACCACAAAGCAAGTCAGTGAAGAAACTAGAAAATAATTGGGAACAATCACACAATATATCCAGTACGTTAAAACTGCTTTAAAGGCTATTTCTAAAATCTCCATGACTGGAAGGCTGGACTCTGATTCTACAATTATTCCTAAGTACCAAATAAGTCCTGATCTCCTCCAGTTCCTTCTTTTGTAGGAGGAAGCCAATATAAAAAAAAAATAAATTACTGTTTAAATTCAATGTCAATCAATAATAATATAATTTGGAAATGATATCCTGTAGAATTGAATGATTATCTCCTCTTCTAAGTGAAGCCAAAAAGCAAACAACAAAATACAGTCTCAACTAGTTTCCACTGTATTCAGCATACTGCATTCTCTTTTTCCCTATTAAAACAGAGTTAACCAAAAGTAATAATGTATTCTGTTTATATTCAAGTGTCTGAATGTAGAAAATGTTCTTAATTAATCCAGAGAGCCACACTCAAAAAACAGTTAAACATATTATGATCCCATATTTTTTCTCCACATATTGCTTTCATGTTTATTTGTAAGCACTAACATTTTTAAGCCTTGAAATCTATATCCTAGATATTGCTGTACTCTCCTAGCCAGAGATAATGAGCTTAATGAATTACCAGTTCTAAATTTAATACAAACATTTCAAAGAAAGAGATAAAACATCCTTCACAATTCAAAAGTTTCTCTGACCTATTTATGAAGAATATCACTTAACAATTTCATTAAGGGTGAGTAACAGCTGGTGACATGGCTGTGTCCTAAAGTGTTTTTCTCTCTTAATATTCTGCATCTTAAGCAATCGAGCTTTCATAAGAAATACTTTGGTTAGTGGCAGTACCTCCTTTGGGGAGAAAAAAAATGTCAGACCACATTTTCTGTATTTTGCAATCTTGTTTTCAAGAGTGTCATGTTCCTGTTTTATTAGCATGTAGGGTAAACAAGAATGATTTGCTGATGCTATTGAGAGAACTTCTAAGATTACAGTCTTTCTGTTTAGATTTTGAATGGAACTTAATATTAATGCAGGCAGAGACATGTATATAAATTCAAAAGAAATTAATTCCATTTATCTTTATCTTTACTGTTCAACAACTCTGAAGTTTCTATAGTGTTCAAGACATACAACCAACTATTCAGGTCTAGATCATAGGAATTCTTTCTTACCCAGACCCCTCATTATATTTATTCCTTAACATACAACAGAGCATATTGCCCAGTGATGTTTTCTAAAATACTTTTTCACTCAACCAAATTAAATGACACCATCACTCCACAGTACGTATTTTAACATTCAGCTGCTCTCCCCAAGAATCATATATGTCTGTTGGGAGCCCCATATGCAACTTTGTGAAGTGTACAGCATCGATGAGAGCTTTTGGACTGGTCTTTGGTTCAGTGATGAGAGTATTAACAAAGGAAAAGCTCACATTTGATACATGCTAAAAAGAGTATTTCAGAAGCACCAAATCCATCCACAGCCAAATGAAGAAAGGAAATAGTAAAAAGTATTATTTTTATAGTGCTAGCAAATTATTAGTGGTAGTGTAATAAAAAGGCAAAAGCAAGATTTCCAGGAAATATTAAATGAGAAAAAAATGTTCCAGTTATGGATGATATTATATGGTTTAAAAACCTCTTTGCTGTACACAAAGCAGAAACATTAAGAAGAACTGAATGCATAGAGGGAGAAATTTAATGTGATACTTTTGCTAAAAAGGCAAGAGGGTTTTTTAGGGCAAAAATAAAAGAAATTACGTTACTTTGTAACTCAACAATGACCAGTCTCATACAGGAAAGTAATAAAGCTCCAAAGTCTGAATTTAGTCACAAAAAATGCAATCAAAATCCACAGCTATGTAAGCCAAGATCAAGCTTTTCTAGAAAAACACTCCAAATATTTGGCTTACAAATGAAACCAATGGAAACTTTAATAAATTTCTTACTCAGATTTTACCAGCTTTTTTGTTTAGTAATGGGACTTTAAAAATAAATGAAAACAGAATCAAAACAGCTTCAAAAAATCCAGCAACAATGGAGTCAATATATTCTTTAAGACTGATTTTATAAAATTCCAGTAGCTATCATAGAAATTTGCTCTTAAATGTATTTTGCAAATATCACTGAAGGAGCTAGTTATATCGTTTCCTTTATGACGTATGCATTTCAAAGTTAAAATGTTCTTAGCAGGACCTGGGTGGCAGTTGTCAATATACTAATTTTTCAATATACTTACAAGTTTCAATGGTGCACCGGAATTTTCAAAGGGAAGTGTAGGCTCAATTATTTTCATTCTTTGAGTTTTTAATAGATAAACCATAAAGGACATATTTTGAGATTATTTTTTTTCCCTCTATGGCTCCATTCTATTACCCTAATAAAATAAAGAAAAACCTAAATAATATCTGTCACAAGTCCTCTACCTCACCTCCCAGGGTATGATGAAAGGCAGAGATTTACAGAAGTTTGTGAGATCTCTTTTTGGGAAAGGCAGCTTATCAGCAGTTTTCTGATTTGATGAACATTCTTCAGTCAGCAACAATGTCACCTGCAGCATTGAAAATCCACTCTGCAAGCACTTGCAAGTCTGTGGGCAAGTCTTGTTTTGTTAAATTCAGCCTCAGCAACCCCCCTTTCCTTTAGCTAAAGGGTATCCATCTCCTACCAGAGTTATTTCAGTATCTAAGCACTAATCCATCATCATCCTTTCTACAAAGGCAAAGCCTCCATTACACATGCCTGGTATCCTGGCAAGATGGGACAACCATCTAACAACTGCTGTTTTAACATTAAAGTGAAGTACAATAACCTGATGTTTAATTTCATTTATTTCTATATTCCCATTTGTTCTTTAAATTCTCCTTCTTTTTGCGGGAATCCATCACTAACTCATTGCTACTCTCTTCAAATAGCATAGCATTGACTTAAAAAGAAACTTGGAGAACTTATTTGGATTTTATTTCATATTAAAAGCATATTTCTGACCTAATTAATCTAGCCAATTGGAAGCAGCATGCTTCTTTTTGATTTCAACCAAACCTAACAAAACCAACTGGCATTTCTCAAAAGGCTCAGACAGGCTTTTCTAGTGCAAAGCACAGATAAAAAATCATTCTGAATTCACTTGTATCCCTAAATAACTAAGATATCTGTAAGAACTTTCTAGGTGGTTTCCAAGATTATCAAATAAATGGTTCAGTACTGATTATTTCCCTACAAAGATCACCTACAAGCAGCCTGCAAAAAAACATGGTTTGCTCAACAAAGCAACACCTGGTGCAGCAGAGCTCTGCATTGAATGAGAAACCCTGGGATGAGATCTACCTGCTGTGTTCTCCATCAGTCACTGTACTACTTCACCAAGAAGAAGGTTCTCATGGAGGTTTTGTTAGATTTCTACCAAAACCAAAATTGTCATGCTGCTCATGCTTTGATCTTTCTTTTTAGGGGTCTAGCTATTGTTTCGTTTCATCCTACTGACTGCAATCACATATGTGGAGATTCCTTTATAAACATCCAAAAAAGAGAGAAAGCCCCTACTGTTGAGCCCCTACATGTTGAGCATGTTGGTCCGCTCTGGACCTGATCCAGCAAAGCACTCTGCAATAGGCTTAAGTGCTTTTCTGGATCAGGGCCAGAACACTCCATTCTTTATAGGATCTAACTTACTGGTGGCAGCTTGAAAGTTTGCAATGAAAGTACAAACTAGTGACATAAACTTTAGTGAAAACCATTCCCTCAACAGACAAGGAGGGGTGATACCTGATTTAGTGACATCTGTGGTCATTTCATTCCCAGTCACTGCCATACTGCTGTGACAGCTCATAATTGCTTAGACAGAGAAACTTAACAAAAATGTATTGTAACATTTCTTAATGGCCCCATTCCTTGAAAGACACCTAGGCAATGGCAAAAGAAAGAAAAATCCTGTTACATTTCACTGACTGCCATGCTCAAAGTGATTTGTTTTGCTTTAAAGAGCCAGTCTTGGGCTGCATGGCAAGTCCACCATTATCTACTGAAATTATTTGGAAGCAACTCTGCAATGTTTTTTCTTCTGCTGTGAAAAGCACTGAGATAATCTGGAGCTCCCCATTCAGAGATGCTCTTTTGTCATCTCAGCAGATAAGGGTTTTCAGTCCATCCTCAAGAAATGGAGTCTGTCAAGGAACAGAGAGAGCAATCCCCTTCCTCCCTGACCCCAACCCACTGCTGCTAATGCTCTCAGTGCACTATAGCTCAGCAGAAGACCCCATTCACTCCCAGAGAAATCTCCTGTGTCCTAGTGGGCTCCTTGCCTAAAGCCATAGCCACTCCCAGCACCAGCCTCCAACAGGTTACATCAGAACCATATATTTGAGGTCTTTTTCATCCTTGCTGTCCCAAAGAGATTTCATCAGAAGAAAAGCTAATAGAAACTACAAGTCATGGAATGTGACATTAGCACACTCCACTTTTTTTTTTCTAAGGCCTGCAGGGAAAGATGCACTAAATGCAATTTCAGTCCTGCCCACACCAGCCTACATTTGCTCCTTACCCTCCATCCCCAGGCTCCTGAAAACTCATTGCTGTGGAGGTGACCAAAT